GAAGTCTTTACACTGGTTCCTCACTGACACTAAGAAAGTGGATCACATCAGTCCTGTTCTGAAGTCTTGACACTGGTTCCTCACTAACACTAAGAAAGTGGATCACATCACTCCAGTTCTGAAGTCTTTACACTGGTTCCTCACTTACACTAAGAAAGTGGATCACATCACTCCAGTTCTGAAGTCTTTACACTGGTTCCTCACTGACACTAAGAAAGTGGATCACATCAGTCCTGTTCTGAAGTCTTTACACTGGTTCCTCACTGACACTAAGAAAGTGGATCACATCACTCCAGTTCTGAAGTCTTTACACTGGTTCCTCACTGACACTATGAAAGTGGATCACATCACTCCTGTTCTGAAGTCTTTACACTGGTTCCTCACTGACACTAAGAAAGTGGATTACATCACTCCTGTTCTGAAGTCTTTACACTGGTTCCTCACTGACACTAAGAAAGTGGATCACATCACTCCTGTTCGGAAGTCTTTACACTGGTTCCTCACTAACACTAAGAAAGTGGATCAGTCCTGTTCTGAAGTCTTTACACTGGTTCTTCACTGACACTAAGAAAGTGGATCACATCACTCCAGTTCTGAAGTCTTTACACTGGTTCCTCACTGACACTAAGAAAGTGGATCACATCAGTCCTGTTCTGAAGTCTTTACACTGGTTCCTCACTAACACTAAGAAAGTGGATCACATCACTCCAGTTCTGAAGTCTTTACACTGGTTCCTCACTGACACTAAGAAAGTGGATCATATCAGTCCTGTTCTGAAGTCTTTACACTGGTTACTCACTGACACTAAGAAAGTGGATCACATCAGTCCTGTTCTGAAGTCTTTACACTGGTTCCTCACTAACACTAAGAAAGTGGATCAGTCCTGTTCTGAAGTCTTTACACTGGTTCCTCACTGACACTAAGAAAGTGGATCACATCAGTCCTGTTCTGAAGTCTTTACACTGGTTCCTCACTGACACTAAGAAAGTGGATCACATCACTCCAGTTCTGAAGTCTTTACACTGGTTCCTCACTGACACTAAGAAATTGGATCACATCAGTCCTGTTCTGAAGTCTTTACACTGGTTCCTCACTGACACTAAGAAAGTGGATCACATCAGTCCTGTTCTGAAATCTTTACACTGGTTCCTCACTGACACTAAGAAAGTGGATCACATCAGTCCTGTTCTTGAAGTCTTTACACTGGTTCCTCACTGACACTAAGAAAGTGGATCACATCAGTCCTGTTCTGAAGTCTTTACACTGGTTCCTCACTGACACTAAGTAAGTGGATCACATCACTCCTGTTCTGAAGTCTTTACACTGGTTCCTCACTGACACTAAGAAAGTGGATCACATCACTCCTGTTCTGAAGTCTTTACACTGGTTCCTCACTGACACTAAGAAAGTGGATCACTCCTGTTCTGAAGTCTTTACGCTGGTTCCTCACTGACACTAAGAAAGTGGATCACATCACTCCTGTTCTGAAGTCTTTACACTGGTTCCTCACTGACACTAAGAAAGTGGATCACATCAGTCCTGTTCTGAAGTCTTTACACTGGTTCCTCACTGACACTAAGAAAGTGGATCACATCAGTCCTGTTCTGAAGTCTTTACACTGTTTCCTCACTGACACTAAGAAAGTGGATCACATCACTCCAGTTCTGAAGTCTTTACACTGGTTCCTCACTGACACTAAGAAAGTGGATCACATCAGTCCTGTTCTGAAGTCTTGACACTGGTTCCTCACTAACACTAAGAAAGTGGATCACATCACTCCAGTTCTGAAGTCTTTACACTGGTTCCTCACTGACACTAAGAAAGTGGATCACATCACTCCAGTTCTGAAGTCTTTACACTGGTTCCTCACTGACACTAAGAAAGTGGATCACATTAGTCCTGTTCTGAAGTCTTTACACTGGTTCCTCACTGACACTAAGAAAGTGGATCACATCAGTCCTGTTCTGAAGTCTTTACACTGGTTCCTCACTAACACTAAGAAAGTGGATCACATCACTCCAGTTCTGAAGTCTTTACACTGGTTCCTCACTGACACTAAGAAAGTGGATCACATCACTCCTGTTCTGAAGTCTTTACACTGGTTCCTCACTGACACTAAGAAAGTGGATCACATCACTCCTGTTCTGAAGTCTTTACACTGGTTCCTCACTGACACTAAGAAAGTGGATCACATCACTCCTGTTCTGAAGTCTTTACACTGGTTCCTCACTAACACTAAGAAAGTGGATCAGTCCTGTTCTGAAGTCTTTACACGGGTTCCTCACTGACACTAAGAAAGTGGATCACATCACTCCTGTTCTGAAGTCTTTACACTGGTTCCTCACTGACACTAAGAAAGTGGATCAAATCAGTCCTGTTCTGAAGTCTTTACACTGGTTCCTCACTGACACTAAGAAAGTGGATCACATCAGTCCTGTTCTGAAGTCTTTACACTGGTTCCTCACTGACACTAAGAAAGTGGATCACATCAGTCCTGTTCTGAAGTCTTTACACTGGTTCCTCACTGACACTAAGAAAGTGGATCACATCACTCCAGTTCTGAAGTCTTTACACTGGTTCCTCACTGACACTAAGAAAGTGGATCACATCAGTCCTGTTCTGAAGTCTTTACACTGGTTCCTCACTGACACTAAGAAAGTGGATCACATCACTCCAGTTCTGAAGTCTTTACACTGGTTCCTCACTGACACTATGAAAGTGGATCACATCACTCCTGTTCTGAAGTCTTTACACTGGTTCCTCACTGACACTAAGAAAGTGGATTACATCACTCCTGTTCTGAAGTCTTTACACTGGTTCCTCACTGACACTAAGAAAGTGGATCACATCACTCCTGTTCGGAAGTCTTTACACTGGTTCCTCACTAACACTAAGAAAGTGGATCAGTCCTGTTCTGAAGTCTTTACACTGGTTCTTCACTGACACTAAGAAAGTGGATCACATCACTCCAGTTCTGAAGTCTTTACACTGGTTCCTCACTGACACTAAGAAAGTGGATCACATCAGTCCTGTTCTGAAGTCTTTACACTGGTTCCTCACTAACACTAAGAAAGTGGATCACATCACTACAGTTCTGAAGTCTTTACACTGGTTCCTCACTGACACTAAGAAAGTGGATCACATCACTCCAGTTCTGAAGTCTTTACACTGGTTCCTCACTGACACTAAGAAAGTGGATCACTCCTGTTCTGAAGTCTTTACACTGGTTCCTCACTAACACTAAGAAAGTGGATCACATCAATCCAGTTCTAAAGTCTTTACACTGGCTTCCTGGGTGTCAAAGAACTGATTTCAAAATACTGCTGCTGGTTTATAAAGCTTTGAATGGTTTAGGCCCAAAATACATTTCTGATCTCCTGCTAAATGATGAACCATCCAGATCTCTCAGGTCTTCAGGGACTTGTCAGCTTTCTGTCCTCAGAGTCAGAACTAAACCTGGAGAAGCAGCGTTCAGTTATTATGCTCCAAATATCTGGAACAAACTCCCAGAAACCTGACGGTCCGCTGCAACTCTGACTACTTTTAAATCCAGGCTGAAGACTTTTCTCTTTGCCGCTGCTTTTAATTGAATTATTCACATCTTAAACTGCACTGTAACTTTTATTATCTTTGCTTTTTAATGAATGTTTTTAAATGCCTTTGTCTGAATGTCTTTCATTTTTGTAAAGCTCCTTGAATTGCCTTGTGTTGAAAGGTGCTATATAAATAAACTTGCCTTGCCTTGCCTGGTGTGCTCCATTTTTAACGCATGTTTTTAGCACTATCTTATTTATTTTAATCGTGTTTATATTTATTTCTTATATGTTTTTATTACTTATTACATGTTTTATCCCTTTAATGTATATATGTGCATGTATTTACCTTTTTATTGTAATCAAAGCCACTTGAGGAGGGATCCTTTTATTTATTTAATTTATTTATTACCTGGAGGCCAGCAGAACCCCCCGCAGAGAGAAACTCTTCACCGACCTGCCACCTTTTGAAATAAACAGAGCAACTCAAACACCTGTCCTTTGAAGAACCTTTTAAACTTACCCGACCTCGATCTTAGTGGTTTTTATTTCTCAGTGACATCTAGTTCATTTTTATACTATTTTACTAACCCGGTGTGCCCCCCTTCCCTCTTTTATTATAATTGTAATTGTTGGGGAGATTGTTTTAATTGCACTTATTTTATTATTGCACTTTTTTTAATACTTATACTTTCACTTTTAATTGTATTTTATGCATGGTTTTAACTAACAGAACTAGAGTCACTTTTAATTAACCATTTTAGATCCCCCCCCCCCATTTAAGGTATTTTTATTGATTCCATTGTGACGAGCTCCATACACACACACACATACATACACCTGCACACGCATGCACACATACACCTGCACACATACACACACACCAACCCACACATACACACAAACACATACACACCCCCCTCCAGAGACCTTGGGTTGGGGAGATCTGCTTTTAAACATACTCTGCCGCCGTTCCATGGTCCAGCCCCGTCCTGCACTTTTTAACCAGTCTTTTACCACAGTCTTGTTTAAATAGAGCTTTTACAACGCTTTTAAAGGGTTTTTACAAGGTCTTTGTAGGGCTTTTAGATCGTTATGGAGTTTTTTAATGTTTTTTTTAAACACCCTAAGCTACCGAGAGCCAGTGCACCACGCTCTTCCCTAACCTAACCCTAACCCTAACCAAGTCTTCACACTAACATTAATGATTCCCCTCATGGGGACCTCCATTATGTCCCCATAAGGGAGGCGAGTTCCCACACGTGACTGTGTAAACAGATTTAGGTCCCCACAAGGACAGTAATGCTAGGCCACACAAACACACACACACACACACACACACACACACATACACACACACACACACACACACACACAGACAGACACACAAACACACACACACACACACACACACACACACACACACACACACACACACACACACACACACACACACACACACAGGTGGAGGTTTCAGTATTTGCTTTTATTGTTTGCTGAACAACATGTTTGTTGACACTCGGATGTTTGTTCGATCTTCTTTCGTCCTACATCGGTGGCGGTAGATCGACCGCCATTTCTAGAGAGGATTTCTTATGACAGAAATCTGTGAGGAAACAAAATCAGTGAGTCAGCAGAGGACTCTTTAAAGTAGAGACACTACATACTGATATACACCTGAACATCAGCAGGAGAGGACTCTTTAAAGTAGAGACACTACATACTGATATACACCTGAACATCAGCAGGAGAGGACTCTTTAAAGTAGAGACACTACATACTGATATACACCTGAACATCAGCAGGAGAGGACTCTTTAAAGTAGAAACACTACATACTGATATACACCTGAACATCAGCAGGAGAGGACTCTTTAAAGTAGAGACACTACATACTGATATACACCTGAACATCAGCAGGAGAGGACTCTTTAAAGTTGAGACACTACATACTGATATACACCTGAACATCAGCAGGAGAGGACTCTTTAAAGTAGAGACACTACATACTGATATACACCTGAACATCAGCAGGAGAGGACTCTTTAAAGTAGAAACACTACATACTGATATACACCTGAACATCAGCAGGAGAGGACTCTTTAAAGTAGAGACACTACATACTGATATACACCTGAACATCAGCAGGAGAGGACTCTTTAAAGTAGAAACACTACATACTGATATACACCTGAACATCAGCAGGAGAGGACTCTTTAAAGTAGAGACACTACATACTGATATAAATATTTACCTGCGACTCCATCGTAGATGTACGGCTGGTCGTGGTCGAATCCCAAACACTCTGCCATTTTCCTGTGAGTATCGTGATCTGCTTTCATGTGATCCACATCCTGATGGTGACCCTCCTTCCCTGAAACACACACACACACACACACACACACACACACACACACACACACACACACACACACACACACACACACACACACACACACACACACACACACACACACACACACACACACACACACACACACACACACACACACACACACACACACACACACACACACACACACACACACACACACACACACACACACACACACACACACACACACAGTTTCCATGAGGAATTATTTTATGTGTTTCTGATTTAATGTACAGATCAATCTATGAATACTATACCAAAGATACTATACTGTACTATCCACTTCATTATATTATAAAATACTATACTACAGAAAACTGTTTTCTATAATATACTCTCCTTTACTATACAACACAATGTTATACTGTTCTCTATACTATAATTTAAGCTACTGTTTTAAACATGTCTATAGTATACTTTAATATACATGACTACTATACTATATTATACGATACAACATTTCATACAGCAAACTAGTTTATACTATACTAAAAATGCTATAATATATACGATATAATACTACATGCTTATATATCTATACTGAAGATACTATATCATACTACACTATATACAGTAGTGTGTGTGTGTGTGTGTGTGTGTGTGTGTGTGTTTACTGTAGTTCAGCAGGTAGTTCCCCATCGACTTCGTCACACACACACACACACACACACACACACACACACACACACACACACACACACACACACACACACACACACACACACACACACACACACACACACACACACAAACACACACACATCCAAAGTCAAACCAGGTTTTGGCATCTTATGGCGCGTTTCCACTACAGCCCGCAGCCCGGTTTAAGAGGGCTGTGACGTCAGCGGCCCGTTTGTGGTTGCGTTTCCACTTGGCCTAGTACCGGCCGGTGGGTCCTAATTCACAGTTTTTCTGGCCTCATAAAATCGTTGGGCCAGGGCCAAAGACAACCGGGCTGAGTTTGTGACGTCAACGCTCTCGGCTGCTGATTGGTCGGAGAGAATCGTCACAATCTGCGCGTGAGATAATCCATTTTTACAAACAGCATTTTTGTTAACAGAGGAGCTACAACAATGGCAAATAAAAGCACACCATGGTCGGTCGAGGAAGTGACGACGTCCATTATATTGCAGATGATAAGGTCCAGCGGGTGCTCGACGGGACAACTCGCAATATCAAAGTCTTTCAGGAGGTCTCTACACAGACACTGGACTCTCCAACGGCGTTACTGGAGTCTGCATGGTACGTTTTTGCTAACGCTCTGTTATTTGCTTGAAAGCTTTGTGTCCCTGCTTTGTGTCCCTATCTGTTCTAAAGCTCACTTCTAACAAATAAGTCTATTTTATCCTTACATTTATGTTCGACAACCCATGCTTTCATGGAGCCCCGAAGGCTAGCTAGGCAGATAGCATTAGCGAGAGCTATTGTTTGCTAACACCATATGTGCCATTGTTTACGTTCAGTTTGTCTTTTCTATAGTTGTTGTTGCTATTTATAGTATTGTGCTGCAGTAGTTTGTGGAATTTACAAGTCATGTTTCTGTTCTAGATGATTACATTGGGACTAGCGAGGAGGAACAGTTCCGAACAACGTCCTCTGCATCAACAGCACAAACCGAGGAGGAGAGGATCTGGCCCTGCAGGAACGGCAACTGGCCCAGCAGAATCAATGCCATGTCTTATCTTATTGCTTGTTGATAAATAATTGCACTCACCAGCGATCACACAGAAAGATGGCATCATCTAGGCGTCCCTCTGCAGTCAGAAATATCATAAACACCATCGTCCACAAAGCACTGTACAGGGGTTTATGGATTTAAGAGAATACTTATCACAGTGAAACCTTTATCATCTGTTGCAATTAAAGCAAATAAGAGAATAAATACTTGGTTAAATAATACATTTTAACTCTTTAGCAGGACAACTCTGCATACTGTTTGAAATTGAGTTTGCTAGCTTGAGGTCCTCCTCTAAAACATAACATTACATAATGGTATTAAGAATACATGATAAATACATGTAGTAAAAATTACTCAATTGTAATACCCTCGTTGTGCTAGACTCAAACACATTGCTTATATATTTCAAAGAGAAGAGAACAAAAGAAAACACCTATACAAAGAGAGCGGTGCACAGCGCTTAATATTTACTTGCACTATATTTCTGTTGATCTGGGTTATTGTGTTGCACTGTTGGAGGAGCCTGTGACCTAAGATGTTCATTGTCATAACTACACTAGCTATGTTCGTATGACAAAATAAAAAACCTTGAACCTTGAGGCTGTGTCTTTCAGACAAACCATCATAATCATATTACTTTATGCTGTGGATACTTTAGCCTCCATCCATGTTAACATTTTTTTACACTTGCATTTATGAATATAGTTGTGTTTTACACTTTTGTATTTATGTTTATAGTTTGCTTTGATATTTGCTTAATTTATTAGATTATTATTATTATTATGGGGGCAGTACTGGTGCTTGAAATTCAAATATTTACTAAATAGTCAATTCTGATAAAACATTTTTGGTTTAAATAATTTGACAAACACATGTATGTGAAAAAGAAAAGATGTATTTATGTTCAATACAATACAATGAATATTTAGGTATTACATTATACATTCTAGGTATTCAGGTAGCGCTTCAGACCCTCTCGTATGTCCCTGCCCCCCTCTGCACCGTGTGCCACTGCTACCCCTGGTAGACGTAGGTTTTCCTCAGGCATCCTGAAGTTCTCCACCCACTGAGTGTGTGAAAGATGGAACAATCACATTCCACCACTCGGTAGCTCGGTCGGTAACTTCTGAAATACACAAACAAAGCATACATATTTTAATACGTAAAAGTGGTAGCTACAATTAATTAAATACTTGAAATACTTTGGTCGTATAGGGAGCGTGAGCCTAAACACATTGCTAGTTAGCGAACGTTAGCTTACCAAGTAGCATTGTAGTTAGTAGTGATTCGAGTCGTCCTGTAGTCTCTGCGGCGTAGGAGGACTGCCCGAACTCTCGCGTCAGCTTCTTCTATACCTCGTCTTGCTATACGTCGCCTCTTTCGAAACAACTCTTGTCTATTTCTTGTGATAATAAACCACACAGCTAAAAACAAGCAAACGATCGCTTTCACATCTTCACATCCTCCATTGTTGTGTCGCATTGAAGATGACGTCACGGCAGTTTTAAGCAGCGTCGCTCCGCCTACACTGCGTTACTATAGATACTACCCCAGTTCCTAAACTGTAATGGAAACGCGCCATAAAGTGAGCTGGTCCTAACGAGGCCAATCGCAGCCCAGCCATACCGAGCGGGGCCGAGCGAGGCCGTGTAGTGGAAACGCGCCATTATACTCCATTTATACGAGACGGCTTGGTGTCATTGGTAGGCAGTGATGTCAGAGTTCCAATCAAAATCTTGCGGGACACAGGGGCTTTTGACTTCTATATTGTTGACTCTGTTTTGCCGTTGTCTGGTGAAAGTGACACAGGTGACACAGTTCTGAGTTGGGGGATGGGATTAAAAGTTCTTCCTATTCCTGTTCATAAGGTGTATATTGACTGTGACCTTGTTAAAGGTGAAGTAGCTGTTGGTGTACGTTCAGCTTTGCCAATCGAGGGGATACATTTTATTCTGGGCAATGGTTTGGCAGGTGGCAGAATCTGGACTGATGTTCCCCCTGCGCCTTTAGTGACTGGTGGTCTGATTGAGTCTGGGTTTGAGGAGAGCTCTACAGTGGTGCCAGAGGTCACGTCCTCCTGCGTGATCCCGTGTGCTATGGCCAAAGCTATGCTGTGTAGAAGCCAGAAGGCCAGGCATTGCTCCACTGGTCGGGGTGGTCGGGGTGGTCGGGGTGGTCGTGGTGGCGGCGGCTTTGATGGTGGTCGTGGTGGCGGCGGCTTTGATGGTGGTCGTGGCGGCAGCGGCAGCAGGGGTCGAGGACGTGGCAAGGAGATGTTCTGTTATCGGTGTGGAGATCAAGGACATTTGGCCAGGGACTGTGACCAAACGGAGGATGTGTGCTACAACTGCAACAAACCAGGCCACATGGCTCGTGACTGTGGGCATGCCAACGACCGGAGGTGCTACTCCTGCGGGGGGCTTGGTCACATCCAGAGACGTTGTGAGAAGGTGGTATATTGTAATTAGGGTTCGTTGAGACGGGGTGCCAGATGCATGTTTTGTTTTCTATGACTTTTTGTTTTTGTTTGGGATGGGGTTGGTTCGTTGTGCCGGTGGTCCGGGGGACACCGACTTTAAGGGGGGGGGGTGTGACGACCCCTGCTTTAAGGTCTCCTGTGGTGTGTGTGTATGGCCCTTTAATGTTCCTCCTCTGCTTGTGTCCGTCTGATTGAGGACACCTGACGCCCTGATTGAGGACACCTGACGGCTGGCAGAGGATTAAGAGGCCTGAGCCAGAGTCTCGATCTCTCTCTCCCGCAGAGGACCTGACCTCGGAGCAGCCACGTCGCTTCGTCTTTTGTTTTTCCTTTGTGTTAGTTTTTGGTTTACGTTAAGCATCTGTTAATAAATATATTTTTCATATATGTTCTCGTCCTTCCCACGCTTTTTGTTATGGCTAAGAGCCAGGCCATGACAGTATGTATGTATTTGTGTATAGATGTTGCAACTATGCAGAGCTTTAGCAATACTGTATGTAACTATGGTCATGCTAATAAAGCTGTTGAATTGAATTGAAATGAATTGAATTGAATTGAATTGAAATGAATTGAATTGAATTGAAATGAATTGAATTGAAATGAATTTAATTGAATCATCACTCCTGTTCTGAATTCTTTACACTGGTTCCTCACTGACACTAAGAAAGTGGATCACATCACTCCTGTTCTGAAGTCTTTACACTGGTTCCTCACTGACACTAAGAAAGTGGATCACATCACTCCTGTTCTGAAGTCTTTACACTGGTTCCTCACTGACACTAAGAAAGTGGATCACATCACTCCAGTTCTGAAGTCTTTACA